CCCCAAAACCCCAAAACCCCGTCAGTAGGAATCTTGATAAGGATTGAAATAGCAAAAAATAATCAAAATAATTACATATCTTACAAATTAATAATTAAATTAATCCTATTACTTTAAAGCCACTAGCATTTTTATATTTCTCTTTAATATCCTTTGAATCAGTAAAATACTATAAAGTTCTTTGTATTTTGCTATAATCTCACCATTCAGATTTATTATTCTTATTACGTTTTTTACCAATTTAAAATATCTCTTCATCTTAGATAGTATCATCTTCTTCTACAAGTTCATTATCTACCTAAAAATCAGTTCTCTTTTTCTATCTAATATTTAGTTTGCTTGACCCGTCAAGAAGCTCTCCGTCGCTAGGAGGAGTGCTCTTCTTTTAATCTGAAACATCATTATACTCTGATTTTATATCAGATATGTTGTCTATAAGTAATGTAAATGAGCTTATCATAATTACCTTGTGGAATGTTTTTACTTTCAAATGGACTGCTTGAGTTTGAAGAATTCTGTCTAGTTATTTAATGAATTCGGCGTAAAGGTAGAGTCATACTTTAAAGATGAAATTGATTTCTAAAATAATACATAAAGGACTATCACATAAGAATAATCTTACAAAGGCTAATAGTTGAGTGGTGGCAGTTTAGCAGGTTTCGAAGGACTGAGGAAGTGATTATTTGCAGAGGAATAATTAAAGGGACTTATTGGTTCATCATTTTAACTTATACCATATTCTGGCTAATTACTAGTGTATAGCAAACTCATTGCACTTTTTCTATTTGCTGGAGTTGCGAACGGCTTATTTCCTAAATCGAAAGTAGGAAGCTTCTTAATATTTTATTGATGTTGATCATCGTACTGGTATTTATTCATCATGAGAGGGGATTGAGATTTATCTGATATTGCTCTATTTCTTTCTTCATGAAACTTTTCTATCATTTACTATTTCTTTTGTTAATTGTTGACCTTCCTCTATTCCATTTTGTTCTTTTTCCATTTCTTGTATTCCTTGTCCTCTAATTCCTTAATTTTCTTTAACTATCTCTTTTTCTTAAACTCTCTCCACTGTTTGCCTAGCTATGAAATAGTCATGACAGCAATGATTGTCCAATTAGCAAGTATATACCCTCCTATCATGATTATAACAATCCAACCGTATAGATTTTTCTTGGACTCTTCCAGATTTTCATCAAGAAAGAGTATTGAAATCAAATGAAGACAAAGTATCAGAGCTTCGCCAACAGCAGTTAAGACCATCATGATATAATCTTTCTATGGTTTTACTATAATAACATAAATCATCATTGCAAAAGCAGTTGAACTCATAAAAATAATCTATTCAAATGGCATTTCTGATAATATGACCAATTATATTGCGAAAACAGCTCTTCTTATCAAAAATACAGGATAATACATATATCTAATCGGATGAGATAAATCCACTTCCTTAACAATAGTCGAATAGCTAAGCATAAACTTTTCAGTGTTAATCTTTTCATAATTTCTCTACAGTATATTCATTTATTGAATTGGTAGATATGTTAATATGATTCCAAAAGCAATTGCTGAAAAGCCTGAAATAGAATTTTCCATTGTCTCAAAATTCATTTAAACAATTCCAAGAACAAAAGCCAAGTACATAGAGACATAAGACATAATAACTCCTCTCAAAAGCAAAGTATATCTAAATTTAATCTCAACCTTTTTCCAAAGCTTACAATACTTATGCTTATCAGCATATTTTTTATCCATATACCACACTGCAGGGTATGCCACTATCAATAATGTCCACATTAGAATTTTTCTTCCACTTAGATACAAAAAGTTACTGATCTTCCAGCCATACTCATCAAATTTCTTATTCAACGCTTACTCCAAAATTATCGCAGATCCAGGTCTATTAACTCCATAATCATAGAATACATTTGGAATGATGGTTGACTCACCATGAGAACCCAGCATTTTCTCAAAGATAAGCAGCGTTATTGGAGGGAATTAGACATTGCATAAAGGGAATAAGCTAATTAATTGTATTGTATTAACCATAGTCCACATTGCAGCAATGCTTCCACCAAATATCAAAGATATTGCCAGATTTATTAAAACTGCTCCTAAAGTGGCAAGCATTGAGGTGCTTCCTGCTGATTCAAGTTTGGCTTTTGTTTCGGGATCAATGTATTCATATTTATTCAGAAAAGCATATAAAGGTTTGTTCATTATGCCATTACCTGTAGCATCTTTATAGATGTTAGGGTCCTTAAAAAATACTGAGACTTACTCCTTTTCACTACCTTTCAATGACTAGTAGATACTAAGTTCTATTACTATAATTTAGATAGGTTGAGTAGTTTTATAGGCATCAGATAGTAGCCAATCAAACTTGATCTAACCAGAACTGCCACTAATTTAGATTTATACATTATTAGTAGTCAATTCATTTTGTAGTATGACCTCTTCGTCAAATTCAATATAAATACTGTTTTTGCTGCTGATAAAAGTTATCCTAGGAGTAGGACTTTAGTTATCCATACAAATACTAGGTGTATATTTTGATCCTGAAGTACATTTAAACCCTTTTTCAATAGTGCAAGCTGATGAACAGCCATCTCCATTGAGAAGATTTCCATCATCACATTACATATAGCCATAGTTATAACCATCACCGCAGATCTCAACACAACCAGTAATAGTATCATCTGTTGGATTTGTCATACCTGGTTGTTCACTGCATGTCAAGCATTGCTAACCAATAAATTAGCTACTAGGCTTGCAAGATAAGCAATCAAACTGACTCATCCCTTAGCAAGTTAAACAAGAATCATCACATTAAAAGCAGGAAAGCTATGGCTTTATAGCTCTATATTAAGTATCTAGACATGTAAAGAATGTGCATTCTCCATTGTTCAATTAATAAGGACCATAAATGCAAGAAGTGCAGTAATTCTCAGAAGTACAGGTAGCACATTCGGGTCTGCATTTTCTGCAAGTTTTTGCAAAGTTATCTGGATAATAGCCATCAGGACATTTCACTAAGCATGAATTGCTGAAGTAATAGTATCCTAATTGTGTTTCTGTATTTTCAGAGCAAGTATAACACTGAGTTTCCTGTGTCCCATAACATGTTGAGCATTTAGAGTCACAGGATTTGCAAACACCATTAACCTCAAACTCACTGTCTGCACATTTCTCGACACAGTACTAGCCTCTTCTATTAAAACCATCTGCACAAATTACACATTTATCAGGTCCATATCCGCTGCATGTATCACAAGAATAGTGGCACATTAGACATTGATTGGTCAAATCATCTGGGTAATAGCCATCATTGCATGTTCTTTTACAGGAACTACCTAGCCATTCTAGATAAAAGCCAGGTTGGCAAGCAGTACAATCACTAGCAAACTTAGAGGAGCATTAGGCACATGCCTTATTACAATTCAGGCATTTCTTGCTAGTATCATTGTAGAAGCCAATGTCACACATGCTTTGGCATTTTCCATTTTATTAATATTTTGTTATATCTGTACAAATAGTGCATTATTCTTTAGAAGGTCCAGTACATGATTTGCAATCAGGATGACATGGTTCGCATTGAAGAGAAGTTTTATTAGCTTAAAAGCCATCTGGGCAGACATCATAGCAATTCGTATCTTTAAGAAAATACCCTGGCGAGCACTAACTACACTAAGTATTAAGAGGCCCACTACAAATAGAACAATATGGATGGCATTTAGTACAAATTTTAGTTTAACTACCAGAAGTTGAACTGACTATAAGAGGAAAGTAATTTGTTTTTTCTACCTTTAATATCTCATCGTTGCAATCGTTGAGACATGTAGTATCAGGGAAAAAGAATTTATCTGGTTTACAACTTGAGCATTGAGTTTTATCTGGTCCATAGCATGCTAAGCAATTACTGTGGCATTAATAGCATGTTTTATTTGTCTCATTGTAAAAATATCCACTAATACAAGTGCAATTTCCAAAATTTTTGTCAAGTACAACATTAAGAGAGCTGTTTGAAGTGCAAAGTATACAATCTTCTTTATTTGGTCCAGTGCAAGAGTCACAAAATGGATGACATTTATTGCAATCAGGTCCTTATTCATCCATCTTGCAAATACTGAGACATTTCTTTGTGTCTGAAGAGCATGAATTACATTTACCTTATTTATCACTTATCTGCTAACAATTCGATTTAGTCACAGTAATTTCATCTCCCCAAAAGGCAGATTAATAGATTTTTATGCTTTTGTACATGACTGAGACCTGATTCACTATTCTAAATGTTTGATTATCACTTGGATCGAAGAAATTTGATGCAGCTCCTATAATCTTACTGGATAAAGTAGCATTATTACCATCAACACTCGTCATTACTGATATAAATTTTTAGTTGGATTTCTCAAATTAAGCTATTGACCATGAAACTTGGAACCATCTATCGTTTTAAAAAATATCATTGAAAACTTTTCCTGATAAAGTACCTTAAGTATTTGTCCAAAGTTCTACATTTTTTGTCTTTTCCTTAATAGAAAAATCTGCAACAACTTAATTTGTTTTATCGAGAAATTGTAACGGGTATATTCCATTATTAACTCCATCTGCGTAAATCACACTATCAGAGATTTTTCTTAGCCATACTTCTAATGTAAATTGAGGAATCTAATTAAAGTTAAAACCTCTTGCAAAATAACTTTCTGCTTTAAAAATATAGTAATATCCTTGTTAAGCTATTTTATAGGGAAATAGCTTATAATTTTGACTTTCTGAGGATTTTATTTTCAAATGATTTTAATTGCCACTACTATCCTCAATAAAATATTCGTTCTGGCTTGAATCAAAATCTAAGTTAAGCAAATAAAGCTATTAATTTTCTGGTGTTTATATAGAGCAAGTTGTCTCGTTATTAATGCCTGGAGAACACCAAGTACATTAGATTAGCCCCGAACAAGTTTATGTCAATTAAGTTCCTGTACCAGAAGCATTGAAGAATGTTTTTTCAAACTAATTTCCAAAAAAAGAGTCTTAAGGATTAATATCTTTCCAAAGCCACATTCTTCCCATTGTGAATCCAGCACCTCTTTAATACTTTTTCATAGCTATATCACAGATACCTCCTAGATAAGTGTCAGATGTTTCGTTATATTGATCAGTGAAAATTTTTTGTGGATACTTTGCGTCTACTAATTTAATCGCCGCAGTAGTCAAACCTTGCTTGATTCTAAGCTCGAAATTTAAATTCGTACTTTCTTATTTATTCAATAATGATACAAACAGCCAACCAGCCTTTATTTGAAAAGATATTGGTAGGGCAAATATTTTCGTAATCTCATTAATATCTATAGAAAATAATGAATAAAGATTGAAATTCGAATTATTAAATATTATAAAATTTGTTAAGCAGAAAATCCTACTTCTGACAAAGTACGAAATAGCATTGAAATCGCTTTTTAATTTTAGCAAAACTGATTATCATACTTACTTATAGGAGCAACAGAGTTAGTTAAATTAGCAGTTAATTTAAATGTCAAAGGTTATAACGTAGTTTGATATAATGCTAAGGAAAAATGAACGAAATTCGTGCTCTTATCGTCATATCTAATAGAATTTTTAAAAAAATATACCTTCGTTAACTTATAATGGTTTGATCAAGAATTGCATCTTTTCCAAAATCATGAATTTTTATCCATAACCCAAGTTAAAATGGCGTTTAAAGCAAAAAATTGTTGGAACCTTGAAGTCTTACTGAATCACTATATTTTGAGAATTATAACCCATCTGGCCCTTTAACTGGATATGTTTACGTCCCTGCACATATTCTTTCAGCTATTTTATATAGAAAAATGAGTATATATGAAAATACGTGAGAATTAAAAAGAGTGCTTGAGATCTTTTGTGACTTAGTCAATCACATAATCCATCCCGTTTATTGAAGTTACTTTCGCAAAGTCGAAGTAGTGACTCTGCCCATTAATCTCCATTAGAAAAACTCCAATCCATGATATGAGAATGTAATGTAAAGTCATTTTATTAATATCTATTAGAAATTAATATCAATTATTAAAAATACAACCAGAATTTGATGAAAAATTTACTCATGGGGTTTTGGGGTTTTGGGGTTTTGGGG